CAGCCAGCGGAGAGCTGGGGCTGAGACCAACCCCTCCAGCCAGTTCCACCGGGTGAGGTCCCAGGACCAGAGACCCCAACCTGAACTTTTCCCCCTCCGATCGCCTCCCAGCTGGAGCAAGAGACCAGAGCCTGGCTGGGAATTGGCCTCATGAGATCTGAGCCCCACCTCTGTGCAAGGACCCCAGCCCTGGCCCAGCCAGCACTAAGGAAACCCCAGCGCTGGGCTAGCGACCACACAAACCACAGCCCAGTATTAATAGACAGGATCCTAGCCCCAATTTCCCTGTTATGCCGTCTACTTCCCCAGTCTTTGCCCTGCATCTGGGAGCGCGGGAAGTGCAGTTCTGCATTGCAGTGCACACGGATTGTTATTCGCTGTTCTGATGCCTCGGCCCCAGAGAGGGTTGACCGAAGACAATGATCAAGCGATTTGTCTCCTGCCGTCCCTCTCCAGCCTCTGACAAACAGCGCTGATCACACCCTGCCTCCCACACACTCCTCCCACCCCCACCGGGTTTCTGCTTGCGACCAGACGCTCCCAGCACCGATCGTGGCCCCACCTCCCAGCCTGGGACTTCCAGGCACTCCCCCCGCACACACCAGGATTCTGATGGGTGCCTATCCGGATGATCAGAAAATACCAGACACTGCACGTGTCCGGTATTGGCTGATTTTTTTTTACCGGACAGAGGGTGCAAATACCAGGCTGTCCGGTAGAATACTGAACAACTGGCAACCAGGGGAGCAGGGGTCTGGGAAGATTGAGAGCCACTGGTCTGCAGGGTCTTCGCCTGCTTCTAAAACTTTTGGGGAGGGGGCAGATTTGGGGGACCATGGCAGATTTCACCCCAGAATGGAAGCTGGAAGGTTGAATCTCTCTTGCTAGTCTAGGTCCTGGAGGAATCAGACCCAGCATCTCAGAACTGATCCCCTCGTGACACAGCCCACCTGTGGCCCCCCTCCCGGGAGCTCCCCTCTCGGGGGCAGGGCAGAGCAGGGGGGCAGTGGCTGAGCAGGGGGAAGAAGCTCATGAAGCGACTCAGCAAAGCCCCCGAGGCAGCCGGATCCATGCAGGCCTCAAACGGCTC